TAACGTATTCCTGTATTATTTGCATTTAATTGATGGATATTTGAACGATTCGTTATCCTCATCTAATGCCTTTTCGTAACCTCGTTATTGATATTACTACTAATGCAACTCCATATCAAGATTCAAAATTATCGCTTTACGAAAAATACGGATCGGAGAAACTCCACGTGATAAGTCCATATTCTATGCTGACAGCATTGCGCTAACAAGTAGTTTTGAGGGTGATAACTGAATCACTTAAATCATGCACATCATTCAGATTAACATTTTCCGCTCTTTTTTTTCTGTATGACTCAATTTCCATTCATTTCCTCATTCTCTTTACACATGAAAGCATTATTCACGTGACCGTGATGTTATTGCTCTTACCATTAGACAGCGTAGAGTTAGCATGAACATTTTCACAAGTAATCGTTCAATCATAGCGATGGCTAAGACTGTTTGAGATTGTAGTGTTACCATTAACTGTAACATTCAACGCTTGCCTGATGGATGTGATTTTGCGGACGCTCATCTCATTCTTTTTTCTCTTCTTTTTCTTTCCCACTGAGCAAAAAATTCATGTGATCAAATATTCGAACTTATAAACATATCGTTCACCATCCGATAGCTTTAAAATCATATCGTTATCCGATAGCATTTTCTGAATAAAATTGAGGAGTTTCCAAAAAAATCGTTGACGAAATTTTTGTATTTGTATGTTTGCATTCAATGACAATTCTGTTGAACAGGTCTACTCAACTACGGTAACTCAGTGACACTTCGAGAAGTTTATGTCATTGTTTGTGTATCGTTCACCTTTTCTTACACTGGCAACACAGTTGTCAATTTTTGTTGGTTTTATCAATCAGGTAAAAAGCCAGTTTCAACTCGCTTCACGTGAACCTCTGAAAAACTGTTGAAATTCATAAATGCCAAGATATATGATGAGATGTTTTAAAATTTTGAAAGTAGTTATTCTACGAATGTATAAATTCACAGTGATTACACGGATTATGTCAGTAAAAATTACGATTTCATGAATAGCTGACGGAATTTTTGACCTTTAATGGCTGGAAAAATGCAGCTTATGAGTGGTTTTTCAAAATTAAGGGGATTCTCTGGAAACCTTATAAATGGAGACACTAGTTCGCTGGATCATTGAATTTTGATCTTATGATCAGCTACATCGAATTTTATTCATCAATTTTTTTTCTATCGAAGTAATTGATGCAATAAACTGAACTGATTGAAATAGAAAGAGGACTATTAAAATTGATTGCGATCGTTCTTATCAAACAATGACATAGTATTACTTTTGGTGTTTGTTACAAGCTGCAAACTAACAAGTAAACATTACAAAGTATACACGTAAACATTACACAATATTACTGCTGCAAATGCAAGCAATCATTTTTTTCCACTCTTTTCAATAACACATTTCTCGCTTCTTGAGCATTCACTTATCTGATTCGTACAAATGAATTCATTGGTTTCTCATTAGGAAATTTTCGAAACATCGTTTATGTTTGACGCTGTTATAATTATGATTATTACTGATATCACTGCGATGAACATTTTAAGAGCTTTCTAAGCGTTGCAATATCATTGGACAGAAATGACGTAGAAAATTCCGAAAAAATTTGAGCCTTTAGGGCCACCAGTTATCATCATCCTCAATCAGTTTCGATCACTTTTTGAGTCTCAAGTTTAACTGATCATTCGTAAAGATGTGGTTCACAAAAAACTTTTGCACTGTGCTATATAAGCTTNACGATTGCAGGTGACACTTTTAAAGTGTAGAAATGCTGGTAACAAGAAAGCAGGTCACTGAGAAATAATTGCGGTGCTGTTTACATGCACTTTCAAGATATCCTCGAAGCGATAATGAAATTTGCATTAACGATATACGGTTGTATGTTATGCTATACGGTACCCTCTGATCGAATCAATCTCAAAATGTTTCTGAAAGAAAAAACATCCAAAAACTATACATTCTCATCAACAAAAAACGTATGCTAAATCGCTTTCCTATGAGGGAACCAGTCGTTGCGATCGGAATGAATTTCGAATGCAAAGATTCACTGTTGATTAATTCGTTGCTATGTACTGATTCATTTGATAACGGCTTAACTTTAATGGAAATTTTTACAGTTCTTGGAGATCCATGAATGACCCACCTGGTACTGTTTCGGATGGAGATCGCCCAACAGGTGAGGATATTAAACCAATATTTGAGCAATTCAATTAATTTTTTCTGAGAGCTGCGCAGAATGTGTGGAGACGATAAGTTGAACCAACTGTTTGAATTTGCATGAATTGCTTTATCGTTGATGTTCCAGTGGGGAATCAGACATAATAAAAATAATCAATCATTCGGCACCAATCCCTCGATCATGTGAAAAGTGCACGTGATCTTGGCAGTGAATAAGTTAAACAAGTTCATTTCAGTTCGATGAATGAAATCGTTACGCTTGAGTAAGTTCAGCTGATACGGAATAGTTAAAAAAACGGAGGTAGAACGAAACCTTGGGTTCCCTCCTCTTTCATTTGCAATGTTGATTACATTTGCTGATTGCTGAATCACTTCAATCATCATATCTATNCACGCCACATCCATCTTCCGTCGTATTCTTTTTTCGGAAAGTTTGATAGGCTGGATCCAGCTGATGGATGAATCCTTCGAAAAACAACATTTGTACCTCCTCATTTCCCTCCTCTTAATGACGACAATTTCTCGTTTTTTTGCGAAGACAATCAAATTCACAAGATGCTGATCATAAGCAGCAGCGACATTCTTTTCGGTACTTCAGAAGAATTTTCAATTGCAACGGAACTTTTTAAATTAAGGGGTCTTAAACTTTTAGATTTATGATGGAAATCCCATAAATTTTCAGAAATGAATTTCATTGATGCACTGGGATATGTAATTGTGTCACATGAACCAACCTTTTGGAGAGAATGACCCTCAACGTGAACAAATTGAAAATTCAAATTGACGTGGTCTGAATTGGTTTCAGGATGGGTGCGTTTGCAGCTTGAGCCGGTCGATGTGCCATTAGAAGCGGACGAGTCGTTGCTGCTCTCAACTGTTCAGTCAGCGATTCCCGGTGCTCATGGCCTCTATTATAAAGAAGATGATCAAAAGAAAGCATTTCGGTCGGTGTTTGTTCGACAATTCAGTTCCTATTTAACTAGTTAAGGGGTTGGGATTTTAGACTTGAATGATCAACTATATCACTGAACGACAGGCTGAAGAAATCAAGCTGACCGCTCTGGTGGCTTGGGATGAACATTTTCTATGATCTGAACCATTCTATAGTCTAACTGGAGAATCACTGAAGCACTAGTATTCCTGGTGGGTCATAGGATCAATGTGTTGCTTTCTCTGCGCTTAAATTCATTTTTTATTCGCGGCTAACCACTAAAAGTGATGTTTGTTGGGAACGACAAGAGTTGGAATTGCATGGTTCCGTTTTGCTGTAATTGGATATTCCGAAACTTCAGTTATGAGAAGGCCACCAAATTGGTTGACCGGCTTGGACAAATGAATTTACGCAGATAATAATATCATTTACCTCAATTGCAGAAAACTTTTCTGCGGTATTGTTTAAGAAATATTCCGGTTTCAAAGAGACCAGTAGATTGTTTGTATGTAGTTTTTATAAATTCAATGCGATAACTGATTGTTTAGAGGAGTTGCGAAATAAGTTATGCTCTGTTCAGATGAAAGTTCATGAAATGGTATACTGAGAAACTTACGGCTTCATGGAGTGATATATGAAAGATTATCCTTCTTTTCTCAGCGAATAAACAGTCAATGAAATCAGCAAATATTGTGATTTATTTCAGTTTTGACTCTAGTACTGGAAAGTTCTATCAAGGGCAACTGGGATGGAATGCGAAACCGATTTTCGTCAATCTGGGTGAGTAGAACTTATATCAAAGCATTTTTTTTTGAATCAAGGCACTGGATGAAATAATGCAGAGTGAGTTATAAATATGTACCGCCTTCCTGCATTTACTGCTTTCTCAAATCGTTCACTTTTTCGCAAGTCTTTGGGCGCTCCTTACAGTGCAGTTTAACAGAGACTCTTCGAGTGTGATTTTCACACGCTTCAGGACAATTTAATAAGCATTCAATGAATTTCCCATCCATAATCAAGCTTGAAATATTGATTAGGTAAGTTATTTTCTTAGAAAACATTCGAATGGGTATTCAGAAGCCGTTGGAAAAAAAACGTCGAGCATCGGTTTCTGATATTGCCGTTCCGCTCATTCATATGAGTTGACGAAATTTGATGATGTGCTAATCAGTTCAATGCGCTTTATTGCATTCCTCTTATTGAACTTTGTTGCTTGAGTTTTATATTGAGCCAAACTTTTCTTTTTCAATCGTATGTTGTATAGGTGCGTCAGACATAAAAATAATCATAAGACAAACGGATAATACTTTTGATTGGGACATTAAATACATTTAATTGTTATGGGATTTTCAAAGTTGAGTCTTAAATGAAATGAAACGCTGAACAAAGGCGAAATTTCAATAGTCACAAACTGTGAAATGTCAGTTTTGTTTTATTTTTATCACACATCAACGACATCGACCATCTGATCAATCACTGAATTCATTTATCATATTCGCTGATCGCATGTTTGAAGAAGTCTTCAGTGGCGGTCATTTCGGGGCGTTCATTATTGTATCGATGAGCTTGAATTGCATAGAAACTAAGGTTGACATAGAACCACTGATGATACGCATATCAAAGTGTATCGACTTAACTACTATTCATTTCCAGAATAACTCAAGGGAAAGCTTTTGGAGTTTACTGACACTGATGATAATATATACGGCAGTATGATTTATTCTGAATTATTTTTCAGCACATGGATGTCGAACACTTACACTTGGCCAGTATGAGAGCGCAACAAAAACATTTGAGAAATCTGTTTCTGCGGTTGAGCGCATGCTAGGTAAGAGTTGGTTGATTCATTTTGATTGCACATAGATTTCTTTTTGCATTTTTTCTGAATTGACGTTGACCTTGAAGAGCGTNCTGAAACGTTGAAAATGACTTATTGCAGGAGCAAGTGATTGGAGGACGGGAGCTACCGCACAGGTATTTGATACAATTTTTTCTCCCTTTCTTCCTCTTCAGTGAATGAGTATTCTGTTACATAGTAAACAAAAAATGGAACAGCAGTTAGATGCATCGTAATGAAGCATTTTCTTTCTGAATCCAATGTGTATGTGTCTGATAGGACAATAGAGCCAGCTCACGCCCTTTAAGAATGTTGCATGAATAGAGGATTCCCAACATTTTATCCATCTGAAGGAAGTTGACGGCACACTGAGTTTTACTGTTCACGTTCAGCAAGGAACATCAAGATCAAGAGAGACACGACGTTTCGAAGACAAAGAGAAAACACATGAGAAACGACTGACAAGACCAACGAAAAGTGGTTTTGAAGCTCAAGCCGAAGCATTGGAAGATCATAGTGATGGATCTGTAAGTTCAGCATATTCGAGCGTTAAAACCTCATATCAATCAAAGCAGGATGTGGTCCTTTTAATCGGATTCGTGTGAATCTTTATAAAAAGATGCGACCAAAATAAGAGAGGTTCTTTCGAAATTAATTGACTTCAGATCGATTCCGCAACATCTAAGGAACTCCTCAAGCTCCAAGAGGAAAACGAGAACTTGAAACAAGAGTAAGTTGAACGAGTCATCGTAATTGAACTCTCACGTTTGTTTCTGATGATTGACAATCCATTAACGATCATAAGGTGTATTCGCCTTTCGTGAAATGTCGCTATAACGGTTATCTTTAACTATCTTTTAGACTGCATACCATCAGAGACAACTGCAGTAAATTCGAGCACGATGTAAAGGAGAAGGGTAAGGACCTAATGGAGGCACGTCTTAGGTAAATAATTTAATCCATCAACGCCTGTGTGATTACTAGACGAGCGACCCATGGACCTTTTTCGCTGCCTGTTCACGTTAGAAAAAAAAAAACATGAAACATGAACTTTTTGGTGTATCGGAACTGTTCGTCTCAATAAAACTGCACCTTTTTTGGTCTTTGTCGCAATCCTACAGCCAAATGAAGTGATAGAGTCGTTTGAAAGTCACGTGGGTAGTAGTATAACATTTCTGAAATTCTCCAAAATGTTGACTGCAATGGACGTGCAGCATTTTCTGGCGAATAAATACTGTTGCTTGCAGTATCTTGCGTATCTGACTGCAACTGGTTGCCAATATAATGCACTATTGATTATGAGTTGGTTTTACTACAGTAACCTCACAGTTTTTTAGTTCATTCTGTATGCCAGCTCATTGTTTCATAACTCTTCTAGTTCTTCTGTAGTGAATAAAAGGAAACAATCTTGTTCAGCAGCGAGTTCATATGAGACGAGCCAAATGCGGTTCAAATATGAATTGATGTCATTGAAGATAGCTTAGATGCACTATTGAAAAAACTTGAAATCGCCCACAGGTGACAAGATGTTCCTGTAGAAAATGTAGGCAGCTGAGTGTGAAAAGTTGATGATCCTTGAGCTACCCCAATTCGACACTGCAATATGTTGCATTCAAAAAGGCCAAATAAAATCAACCCTTTGAGCTCGAATTGGATACGCCTCGATTACGGAAAGCTGAAGACTATTGTGAAGCATATCAATGAGTAATTGAGGTGATGCATTAGAAGTAACGATAAAGATGAGAGTAAACGGGATCCACGTGACCCCGCAAGAATCGTGGGCGTGATAGGCGTACTGTGTCAATGTTCCATTCAACACTATACTTGAGATGGATTTCTTTGAAATTAAATTTACAGAGAAATCGTCTGTTAGTATCGCCTGCTCATTTTGATTCATTTTTCAAACGATCACCTAAAAATTACAAACAGTGAACGACGCTGAAGTAATACTGAAATCCTCAGACTTGATCAACTGTTTTTTTTAGAATAGATGAACTGTTGAGAGAGATCGAGCACATAAAACCAACTGGATATTTGGACAGTTCCATAACAGAAAGGTTACTATTATATTTTGAGCTGCTGTTGTTCGTGATGTAATGAACTCCCCAATCCAATTTCATAAATGAGCGGCTGACTACGACATAATTTATATTTCTTCGAAAATGTCATTCAAAACTTCAAAGGTTTTACAATCGAATTCATCAGAGAACATTTTGAGAACATTCATAGTTGCCGCTTTTTTATTTGAACTTTTCCGTTTTGAACAACGATGAAATCAGTGATATGAAAACAACAAAGAAAAAACCGTACAAAAAATGTCAGCAGCATTTTCGACTCTTTTCGCGTTTCATTCTCAAGCAGGTTTTTTTGTTTCAAAGACAATGTGATAGTGCATTTCACGTTTTCAACGTGATCTCGTCCTATCCAAATTCTCATTCTCGCACTTTCAGTGAACGTGCTTTGTATACCACCACCACCGTCATCAGCACACCTCAGGTAATCCAGATTTACTTTTGAAAAATCCTTTCATCAGTTTCTGCTATTCATTCTGATCAATCATCTTGTTTAAGCAGGAGAAATTTCCTTCAAACATCGGCATAGGTTACAACGTTTTTCCTTCATTATGATGAGCTCAAATTAGAACAAACGACAAAATTAGTTCATTTTTGGAATGGCTGGGATTATTCGATATATGTGAAACTGAATATGTGAAACTGATTAATTCAGAAAACACCCCTACTTGATCTGGAAGAGTTTGTCAACTTGAAACGCGTAAAAGAAGAGTAAGTTTACTCTTTGCTGAAGTCTGTCAAAAAATTCAGAGTACTTTGACAAAAGTCTTCATTATTTTCGACTGAATATGCAGTAAACTGCAAGCCTGATACGTGACTGATTCATATTGAATATCGTTCCGTTGATTACGGATACGCGTGATCAATTTTTGGACTATTACCTTCCGGTCAACACCGACCATTCAAAACGAAGAATTGAAAAGAAAGTTTATGAGAACGCAAAATTATAAATCCAGGAAGGCATTATTTATTTTGGTGGATGTGTTTTATCTATTAAAAAACACAGCGTGAGCTTGTGTTGGTTTGGTCATACCTGTTCATAAAGATCTATTTTAAAGAGCGGAGCGCGAACTCGCTCGTGAACGTGAGAACATCGAGCAACTAGAGAAGATCAGGAATGAACAGGTTGACACAATCAGCAAGTTGGAATGGAGCCTTGGCGAACACAAGCATTGGCTTGAGGATGCTAGATCTAAGTAATTTACGAACTGATTTCACACTTGCGTTCATTCATTCGCTGATTCGATTCCATAAATATTAAACCGCCTCATTTTTTGAAAGAATCACGTTAAACAAAACATTGCAAGTTCATCTTCTAGTTTCATCATGAAAGATTATTTCAGAGTCAATCAGTTAGAAGGTCAAATCAATGGGCAAACTGCTGAATTTGAACGAACTCGTTCGGATCTGCAATCACAAATCGATCGTTTGCACGAAATGTGAATTTTAAACTTTTCTCAAAGTCGCATAAACACTTATCATGCTATTACAACTACGAAACGCAAAGTCATGACATTCTCAATCTTAGCTTACAGCCACCTAATCATGTTTTTGTAAATCGCTCGGCTAGTATTGAATTTCTTAAACAATAAGTCTATTGAGCAACGATTCTATAAATCAATGTCTTGGCCGTAAATACAATATAGTAAATGTGTCAGTCAGTAAAAGTAAAGTAACTGACGTTTGCTGGTTATAGGAACTGTCAACTGAAAAATGAACTGCAAATGGAGAGAACTGAAAACGAACGTCTTAATGCTGAACTTGAAAAACTGAAAACCACCATTGGCGATACACACCCCGAAGTGGGAGCGTGGGAGGACGAGAAAACTAATGTTCGTTTCTTTGTTTCAGATAGTCACGTCTTTCGATACTTCAAGCTCTAGTTGATTGAAATAATGCATGATGAAAAGTTGATGTCGTTGTTTGTGCAAGCTCAACAATTAAACAGTATTAATCAAGAACGCACTCTCCTGAGAATAACAGCTACGAGTGCTTGTCAGCCAACACTAGTAATCAGAGTTTGCACGGGATCCCGGGATTCCAGTTCTGATCCCGATCCCGAGATTTAATTTTTGAAAAACCCCGGGGTCTCGGAATTTGATAAAACAGGTCAATTTGTGTGAATTTTGATAGTATGCCCATCTTGAAGCAAGCCTTAATCATTCCCATCTCATTCATGTGCAGTCATCTTTGCTGTTTGCCCTCTATCATTGATAAATAGCTAAGGAAATAGACGCAAATTGGACGAATGACATGATCAACGACAGGTCGATGAACTTTTATTGAATATTTCATTGAATATTCAATTGATTATTCTGCTCATCATTAGTTTATATCGCGCTTATGTGGATGCATTTTTAAGTAGACTAACACAGATAATCACATTTTCTAATAAGAACCAGGAGCAACAAATTCAATGAAATTTTGAGTCGTTTTCTCCCACGCAATTTGTTCTGCTTCAATATTCCATCTGTTAATTTAACTGCATGTTCTAAAGACTGCAAATCTTTTTAGTTCGCTGTTTGGAAACATTTTCATCCGATCGGAACATACATAAATTCTCACTGAGTTCACTCATAGTCAAAATTTATTGTCGAATTAAGCAAAATTGTTCCATTCAAAAGGATCTTAAGCTTGAATATTAAGTACATTTCCATGATTTTTGATCAAAATTATCAAAAGATGCAAGTGCTTAATGGTTCGATGAAAATCCATTGCGGATGTGTTTTTTTCACTTTTTAGATAAACTCCGAACTTTTAATTTTTTCAAAATTCAAATGATATAATTCATGCGATGCATTTCTTTCGTAAAATCGAAATTTCCGAAATGGCAGAATTCAGCTGACGTTAACACTGAGCGAAAATGGACTTGAAGCATCGCAAATAACTGCTTGAGAATCAAGAATTTCATATTCACACGCAAGTGTATTGCTATTAGCTTAGACCCGAGATGACAAGATACCTTAGCAGAGAAAATGTAGTATGCCTTGCGGCATGACCATTAGCATCATTGTATGAAATATTAATTTGTAATTGAATAATTTGGTTTCTTGGATTTGTTCAATAATTTGTTGAATTAGCTCCTTTCTGATTAATAATGAACACATGGGTTCGAAAAAATGTGTTTAAACATGTCCCACATAGATATTTCAAAAGTTGTTTGATCCCGGGACTAAATCCCGTTCCGAAGATTGAAAAAACGTTGGGAATTTGCAAACCCTATTAGTGATGTTATTTGCTGAAAAGCTTAAAGGCTGCTTCCCTATATAGCCACAACCGCTAACAAAAACCACTGATTTAAAATGAACTTCACATCATCCCAGAACTGAATATTTACTCTGGAATTCTCGGTTCCATCGGTGCTCGAGTCCACATTCATAAAATTACTGCAACTGCATCAAATTACTATCATCTCATTCTAGGTCAATGAACAGAACGAAAGTTTTCACTGATTTCTTCTCATCTCTCTCAGTCAGGGCTGGCATATAGTCACGCATTCACAGGCAATCAAAAGCAAATTCATCACGCTCGTTGAGTCATGAAATATTTCATCAAAAAATTTTGGAAATCTTTTTTAAAGTTTTCCAAAATTAGTATCGTGTGGTATCATTCAAAAAAACTTGATTAAGCATACTGTCATCCGGTTCAGTCAAATAATTGTTCGGTCTGTTGCAGCTCGGAAAGCAGATTGAAGAACTAAAAGGACAAATAACTGCAAAAGAGAATGAAGCTAGGTATCAGATTTGTTCATTTCATATTTTCATTCCTTCATTCATAATTTGTTTATTCCCTCAAACCGTGCATATTTCAAACTCCCTCTATTGCTCGCCCTATCATTTGCCCAACAGGAATACAACAATTAGTCAAATCAATTTATCGTCGTTGAAGAAAAAACTTTATTTCCTCATTCATCTATCAAAGTGGTTCGACGATATTGCAAGTATTCCAGTAAGACAACCGTCATCTCACAAAAACCGAAGTATTTAAAATGCTTCATTATGATAAATAAATCACAACTTTTCAGTGCACTTCGTAGTGAAAATGACTGGCTAAAGAATGAGCTGAAAGGAAAAGACACCTACATAAACGAGCTGAACAAACTCAAAAACGATGCTGAATGGAACCTCGGTGAGCACCGTCAATGGCTGAGTGACGCAAATAACAGGTCAATACAGCACCTAACACTTCACTTAATCTTCGAGTCATTTTCGCTGAAATGATAGAACAATATCATAGGCGGTCGAAAGGCGAACAATAAGTAACAATACTAGAACGAAGTAGGCCTCCTACGTGAAATTCGTACGCATATCACCGAAATAAATTTTTCAGGTCAAGAATAAATATCTCATAGGCATCATCTGGAATCGAATTCTATTTTAACAATAAATTAAGCATGCTGCGATTTGTTGATTCTGATTAACTAGGAAAAATGGACGACTCCTTATCGAAATGAAGGTACAAACAACAAGTACAAACCCGATGAAATTTTAGGATCATTGCTCTGGAAGCAGAACTGCAGTCGAAAGTTGAAGAGTTGAACCAGTTACATGCCCAGAGAAGTGCTGGTGTTGACCAAGGCCAGGTTAATTTGCAGATCAGATTGACTTGTCATTGTAATTTTTATTGCATTCTGTGCTACCCGAGAAACAAATTGATATCCCTCATAGTGTTTTTCGATCATATCTCTAATTCCTCATTGTCAGCAAGATTTGATCGTGTCCGTCAATTGGAATCAGCATCTCAGTAATCACAATGTATGCAAATGAAATAAATAATGAATTCATACATTTAGGAAACAATATCACGTTTGGAGGTGCAGATCACTGAAGTACAAACACTGTTACAGAAAACGAATGAAGAGAAAGACGAAAAAGAACGACAAATTGAGTCAGTAATTTGAGTTTTGCTGCCATTTTAAACAATCGTGAACCTACATTTTTTCAGTACCGACTGCCGTAATACACTCGTATTTTTTTCTGGGCTGTGCGAGCTGCTGAATCTTTCTCACAAATTGAGACGAATAATAAGTGTGTCAACGATATGAATTTTTCTCCTTCAGAGAAACTAACAAAAAAGTTCGAGACTTAACGGATGAAGTGAACAACAAAAACAAGGAAATTGAGGAATTGAAGAATGATGCTGAACGGAAGCTTGAAGAACATCGTCAATGGCTGAATGATGCGAACAACAGGTATGAAAATTCGTATGTCTAAGTGAGGTTGGATCGAAAACATTCGAAAATCTTTTATCCAAATTCAGGAAATAGGATTAGAACTTTATGCACGTCAGCATGATTGAAACAAGTTCGATATACTGTGAAAAGGCAATGGGATACTTCTAGAGAACACTGAGATGAATGCATCATGCAAATGATCTTTTTTTCAAATCTATCACTATCGCCTGCACAATTCTAGAAACGACGAGCTCAGCCGTCAAGTGGATCAGCTAAAGAATGAACAGGAAATCCTCAAAAAACAAATTGAAACGGCAGACAAACTTGAAATTTCTCAAGCGCTAACGGCGGCACCACCTGAGCCACAAGTATTCATTTACTATGTTTTCTGAGCATTATTCACTTGAGTGGATGCTTGGCAGCTTTCAGCTGAGAATCTTTCCCCTTATCTTCTCAGATAGCACATTGTTGAGTAGCGCAACATATTTTGAATGCAAAAGTTGACTTCAGAATGAATTAAAAGTTGACGGAAGATATAATGTTGCTTTCCATTGATCATTATTTTAAAGCATATTTATTACCGTCGTTGACTCTTTTCGAAATTCATCTTGAAATTATCATAAAAGCGACACTCAAACATACAAATATGCAAGAATTATTTTACCTGAATTCAGATCATAGGGGTAATTTGTAGGAGCGCGAAAAAGAACTTCAGACTGAACTAAGCGGAAAAGAAGAACAACTGAGTCGTGTGAGGAGAGGCGTAGCTAACAAGGACAACGAAATCAAGTTAGTTTCATTGTTTCTGCAATCTATTTAGTTACAATCATGTGGAAACTTAAGTAAACTTTACAATGAATAACTTCGAATGACTTAACTAAACGGCATGCTACAATTAGACTTTTAGATGTCTTGTGAGTCACCTGACATCAAAGAAGAGACTGTAAATTCGCAATTTGTGACATCTAGCGAAGATCAAATCGAATACTAACTAGCCACTCTATTCAAGACCCTATCGCTGGGAAAGGAAGGAGATTAAAAATAAATAGGGATTGCTTTTAACATCAGA